TTTTGTTTTGAAGACAGAGTCTATCCCTCTGTGGTCCAGGCTGGAGTTCAGTGGTGCAACCTTGGCTCATTACAACCTCCACCTCCTGAGTTCAAGCAATTCTCCTGCCTCAGCCTCCCAAGTAGCTGGGATTACAGGCGCCCACCACCACGCCCAGCTAAGTTTTGTACTTTTAGTAGAGACACGGTTTCACTGTGTTGGCCAGGGTGGTCTTGAACTCCTGACCACAGGCGATCCAACCACCTTGGCCTCCCAAAATGCTGGGATTACAGGCGTGAGCCACTGCACCCAGCCATCTTTATGGGAATTTGTACTTGAGCCACACCATGACACAGAAAATCAGGATAATCCAAACCAACACCACCCCCCATTCCGCACTGTGCACTCCTGCAAAAAGCATAATAAAATCAGGTGTTTGCACAGGGACAGTTTGCTTTATCACTTCCCTAGAGATTAGTAGGCCTTGTATTTCTTTTTTCCATCCCAAAGTGAAAATGACCCACAGTGAGGGACTCCGTTTTTTGGCAGCAGTGAAAGAAGGCCTCTTCCTTGCCACTGAAAGTGAGCAAGTAAACAAGCTCATGTATGTTATTACCGTGACTGCTACACCCAACTGGAAAAAGAATATTCCTACTGTGACTCCACTAAAGTCTTTTCAAAGTAAAATATAGCATAGAACAGAAAAATGGACCTTAGTTCTTCCTTGGACCATCCATTCACAAGTCAATTTTGTTACAAATGGTGCCATGCATATACATTTTCACAAAAGGTGAAAAATTAAACTAGATGTACGTTTGGTATGTTTTGGTGGGGTGGTGGACAATGCCATCTTCAAAAATTTCTTATATACAAGAAACTTGTCTTTGTCTCTAAGGAGCAAGGTGCTGGGAGAACAAGAATAGGAAGAAAATTAACTTTTCATTGCATTCCTTTTTAATTAACATTTATGAATTACCCACTGAAAAACACAAACACATACTTTTTAATGTCCTAAAACCTCAAATGTGTAAAGCAATGTTTTGCTTTTAACTGAGTAACTTTGGGACAGGACAATTGTGCAACAAAAATACCTGGCAGAAGATCCAAATTCTTTGTCTTCTGTGTAAGCTACTAACCCAATTCTTGACCAGACAACGTGATGAAAAACAGAAGTCAATATGAAAAAGACTCTTCTCAACAAGTGGGGGATCTTTATTATTAAACACTGTTCACTTGCTGCCAATGAGCAACTATGCCCAAACCTCTTACCATCCCTGCCATCATCATGTCCTGGTCAGCGTCATCTTGTTTTCTCTTTAGCTCTTTTTCTGCCTCCTGTAGTTGCTTCAGCATATTGGTCACTTCATTATCCAGATCTGTAACTTCTGCAAAAGTTCTTTCAGCTTCTGCTTTGGTGCTGGTGGCATTCTAGGCACAAAAGCAAATTGCTATTTTTTAAAAAAAGCTTTCCTTTTTCTCAAGTATGCTCCCACTCCCTTTATAATTTATAAAATGGCTCAAAAATATAATCTAGGAAGAATAACATATTGATTTATACTATTCTCATGACTTACATTATCAATTTGGGTTCTAAATAATAGTAAAAAAAAAAAACATTCCTACACACATAATAACATTTTGTATTTTATCTAGCACTTTCGTTTGTATCCTCTTCTTTAATCCGGAAAAATTCTGTTCCATTATTTCTATTTTTAGTTGAGGTCACACAGCTAGCAAATGATAAACACTGAATGGCATACATTTTCTACCACATCATACTGATTAGATGCTTTCATCAAGATAATAGCATCATTTCACAGCTAGCTTGGTTCCTTCTTGGCAGTTCATCATAATATACAAAAAAGACCACAATCCTGAAATATGAGTATTTTAAAAAATATAATTAATCCAAAAGCCAACTGTTCTAAGGAAACTAAGAGGTTTCTGTGATTCTTAAATATCTAATTCTGAAATTGCTCCAATCTCTTCTTTAAATAAAACAAACAGATTGACCTTGAAATAAGACAAAGCCAGACTAAAAAAAATTATTCTTTAAATCCTAGCAATGGCAGCAACGGGAAGTCTCTCCTAGGAGGGGCTTACATATGGCAATATGCTTGAAAAGGGGGCCTGAAAGTTGTATTGATAAGGCATACTACATATTATTGAAATAAATACCACCTGTCTAGGTCAAAGAAGAATGTTTATTTAGAAGAAGTCTGCTTTTTGTGGGAATGGGATTTTTTTTTTTTTTTTTTTTTGTGGGAATGAAGCCAGACCCCACACTGAAGACAAAGTAGAAATTTTAGAGTAAAGCACCCTTTTACTGATTACCCCTCCTCAATCAATGTGGATACCTACTCTTCATGCCTAGTCAAAAGAAAAAAAATATGGTTTAACACAATTTTACTGAAGTTGAGGAAAAAAATCTGCAAAGGCTCTGAGGGTCTGGAAAGATACTGAAAGGTGACTAGAGAAAGGCATGGACAGGGACTCTCAGAGGAGAAATGCACACCTTTTGGATAGCGCTCGCGATCCTCTCTGCCTCGTGGGCCTTGTTCTTGGCCTCCGTGGCATCTGCTGCAGCGTTGCCCAGGGCCTGCTGGGCATCCCTGGTCTTTTCATTGGCTTCAATGATGGTCTGGTTGATGGTCGGAATCTTCCTTAGCGCCTCCTCTGCAGCTGTCTTGTTATCGTTCACGCGCCTATCGAAATCTGAAACAAGTTCAAGAACACATTTGAACTGAACTCCCAACAACTAAAAAGGGGACCTTTCAGGGAGTTCCAACTGGATTTCGTTTTATGAACAGTGGAAGTCAGGGTAAAAAATGGAAGAAAGCATGGACTGAAATTTTAGAAATTACACATCTCTACAGAAAAGGTCTCCCAGTTAGTCTTATATAAACATTACCTGTTTCTGGAAATAGAATTCTTACTTGAACAATGTGCTTTAATGCAGAGCCCTGAGCATCCCACTACTGCTACCTCAACCAGTATTAAAAGGTGCAACTGGGCTGGGCGCGATGACTCACGCCTATAATCCCAGGACTTTGGGAGGATCACAAGGTCAAGAGATAGAGACCATCCTGGCCAACATGGTGAAACCCCATCTCTACTAAAAATACAAAAATTAGCTGGGCATGGTGGCACGTTGCCTGTAGTCCCAGCTACTCGGGAGGCTGACACAGGAGAATCACTTGAACCTGGGAGGTGGAGGTTGCAGTAAGCTGAGATCACACCACTATACTCCTGCAATCCGGACTGGCAAAAGAGCGAGACTCCGTCTCAAAAAAAAGAAAAAGTTGCAATTTATTTAGTGTTTACTGTGTGTCGGGTACTGAGCTAAGAGCTTTATGTGTCTTTGATATAAAATAGGCTGTATCATTTCTATAAGAAAATTAAGGGTTAAAGAAGTTAGATGACTTGTGGTGCAGGATTTTAAACCCACTGACACCAGAGACCATATTTTGAACTTGTTATTTTGTTTTATTTTTAGAGACAAGGTTTCACTCTGTCATCCTGGCTGGAGTGCAATGGCATAATCACTGCTTACTGCAGCAGGGATCCTCCTACCTCAGCCTCCCAAATATCTAGGACTACTGGTGTGTGCCAGTATGCCTGGCTAATTAAAACAAATTTTTTGTAGAGATGGGATCTCGCTATATTCTCCAGGGAGGAACTGGTCTTGAACTCCTGGCTTCCAGTGAGCCTCCCACCCAACGTATTGGGATTACAGGCATGAGGAGCTACTGTGCCTGGCTCATACTTTCAACCAGTATCCTGTAAAGCATCCTGTAAAGATTCCTTATTTATAGAACCTATGACTATTTTATCAGACATGAATTCACAGTTGCTCAGTGAGTTGGTAACATTTCTCTTTTATCTGGGGTAATGAAAAAAAACAACAAAGAATTGGATGCCACTGGCAGAGAAAATGAAAGATAATCTCCATTTACCATTATATAAGTTATCTAAATAGGCATACTGGTTATGTGAGTTAGCCTAATAAAAAAACATCTTTTTAAAAAAAATCTATACTGAAGTATGCAGGGATAAAATGGCATGAGCTCTGGGATTTCTCTTTGAAATACTTTAGCACGAAAAAAGTAGGGAGTTGTGGATGAAGTAATAAATATGGTAAAAGACACGATTTTTTAAAAAATCACTCTACTTGTGGATGCATTTGCCCCTGTTATCTCAGTCTTTTCTACCTTTCAGGTTGTTGAGAATGTCATTAGCTTCTTGTAAGGTATTCCGTCCCTTCTTTGCAGCTTCTTCGGCGAGGGCTTTGGCAGCATCAGCTCGGGCTAGGAGTTGGTCCACGGTCTGCAAACACATGTCAAATTGGGGGATGAACCCTCCAAAGGAAATCCCTTCTGTCTCCTGGACAGAAAAGACTCTCCAGAGGTATCGCCTGAGACTTGCCAGCATACAACATGTTAGGCTGCTCTCTCAGCACTGTGGTCTGCCATCTCTGCAAATATGGTGTCATCACAGACACATTTGGACTGTTCAAATGTTGCTTCAAGACATGAAGCAAGCTGCAAATCAAACCAACCTGCTGTTCAGTCTTTCCTTTCTCCAGAAGGTTCTTGACTTCAAGTTCCTTTCCTCTCATGTCTTCCCTGAGGTCCTCATAATCTTTCAACTTCTGGTCAATCAGACGTTCCAGATTCTCAGCTTCCATCTTAATGTTATTTGCTTCATTCTGTGAAAAGCAAGTAAGATCACTACGCTTTGGATAAAACATTTAAACTAATGAAAAGGTAGGCTTAGAAACTCTCTAACACCTAACACTCAATTGATATTTTTTAAGAACTGCAACAAGACATACTCTACACACTGAAATTCACAGCATCCACATATAGTTTGATGAGTTTTGACACATGAATTTCTATGTAACCAAACACTCCAATCAAGATACAGAAGACTTCCATCACCCAAGAAGCTCCCTTTTCTCCCTTTCCAGCCAATCTCCACTCCATCTTTCCAATATTGCGCCTCCCAATGCTCTGATTTTTATCATCATAGACTAATTCTGCCTATTTTCTACTTCTAAATATATAGAATCAGACAATCTGTACATGTCTAAAGGGACCTAAACCTTGATGGTAAAAATCAAGTCAACACCTCAGATATAAGAAGTGACACTTAGTATATCTCAAGCTTAATGCAAAAAACTACCATTTATACAGAGCTTGGAGTTAGGATCCACGATTAGAGTACAGATATGAAATAAAATCCTACCAATTCCAAAATATTTTACCTGCCCCAGAACTTCCTGCTATAGTCCTTTAATTAAACCATTCTCTCTTATTTCTCTCTAGGTCTCTACCAGACAGTGCCTAGGAGTAAATGTCTCCGTGTACTCCACTTTAAGCAATTCAAATATATTATTGTAATTTGGATTTGTACTAAAGACTTAAGAGTAATTGTTCATATCATTAAAGTAGTCTTTGCTATTTAATGTTTACAATCACAGGATTCTTAATCTTGGTAAGTTTTTGTTTTTTGAAGGGATAGGGTCTTGCGCTATGTTGATTAGGCTGTTCTGGAACTCCTGGTCTCACACAATCCTCCCACCTCACACAGACTTGGGAGAAAGACAGAGTGGGGCTGTGTGTACAGGCTGTCCCCATACCTCCAGTGTCTTGGAGTCCACAGGGCTCAGCTGAGAATTCGAGCAATTCTCCTGCCTCAGTCTCCCGAGCAGCGGGGATTACAGGCATGAGTCTCCACACCTGGCTACCTTGGTAAATTCTATTAGTGTATGTGAAATAGACTCAACTTTACCAGCAAGCCAGTGGGAGGACAGAGGGAGGTGCAGAGCAGTCTGCTGTCACATGACTTGGGGGAGAGACAGGGTGGGGCTGTGCGTACAGTCTACCCCCATACCTCCAGGGTTTCAGAGTCCACAGGGCTCAGCTGAGCCACACTGGCATAGATCTCCACAGCTTTGTCACCAGCCCTTTTGGCCTCCTCGTGTACTTGGGCAGCTTGTTTCTCCAGATCCTGTGAGATGTTCTTCGCTTGTTCATACCTAAGACACAAATAATGTGATTTAATGAAAATCTTAGCTGCTTTTAGCATCTTAATGTTAATCAGATTAACATGATCATACGATAATATGCCCAAAACCTCAAAGAAAATGCTACATTAAAATGCTTTCATTTTAATACCAACATTTGGCATACATTTTCATTTTCTCTTATCACTTCTATGTGGTGTGCCATATACTTTCTTATTTCAGACACCCGTTAAAGATTTATAGTTCAATTATGTTTCCTCTACTTACTCTATCATATTCTTTCTCTTCTTTATTTATGCAGAATTTTAAGTATCATGGCTCATCTTGTTACTATTCTCTGTAGTTATAGTAACTGAATCAAACCAAATTTCTGTGGCTCCACAAGCCCTGCTCTACTTACTGTGCCATTTCAAAAGCATGATTAACAAAGGAAATCTTACTGCATGAATGTATGCCCTGAATCCACCAGTATTTAATTTTTCATTGAACTACTGTTACTTACTAGAACAGCTAAAGGGCTGCAAACCACATTTAAATCATACTCACTTTCTATTAAGCTCTTCAATCTCAGATGCTGTTTGATTTTCTCCTGCCAATGTCCTCAAAAGCAGGTTGTATGCCTCAGTTGATGTATCATTGGCTGTCTTCGCCACTCGTACAATGTCATCAGCTTCTTGTTTATGACTATACAGATAAAACAAATAAGCCATGAAACAACCGTCTGGTAGGGAAATAAAATTTAGGTAATGCTTACTTTATTATTATTATTACTATTTTTTTTTTTTTGAGATGGAGTTTTGCTCTTGTTACCCAGGCTGGAGTGCAATGGCGCGATCTCAGCTCACCGCAACCTCCGCCTCCTAGGTTCAGGCAATTCTCCTGCCTCAGCCTCCTGAGTAGCTGGGATTACAGGCACGCGCCACCATGCCCAGCTAATTTTTTGTATTTTTAGTAGAGACGGGGTTTCACCGTGTTGACCAGGATGGTCTCGATCTCTTGACCTCGTGATCCACCCGCCTCGGCCTCCCAAAGTGCTGGGATTACAGGCGTGACTTTATTATTTTTAAAAAGCAGTCTCACTCTGTTGATCAGGCTTGAGTGCAGTGGCATGATCTTGGCTCACTGCAACCTCTGCCTCCTGGTTCAATCAATTCTCCTGCCTCAGCCTCCCGAGTAGCTGGGATTATAGGTGCACACCACCATGCCCAGCTGATGTATTTTTAGTAGAGATGAGGTTTCACCATGTTGGCCAGACTGGTCTCAAACTCCTGACCTCAGGTGATCCACCCACCTCGGCCTCCCAAAATGCTGGAATTACAGGTGTGAGCCACCACACCCAGCCTACTTTATTATATATACATATACTAAAATGAGCAAGAATTCTACAAATATTGGAAAACCTCATTCATTTGGAATTTTGCAATCAGTTCAGTGGGGCTGAATATATGAATAGCATTCTGTAAACTGAGATGAGAATATTTTTCAAAAAAACTAATAGTTTAAATTTATAAGAGAAAAATGTGTATAATTCTTCAGAAAAACAACTTTTAAATTTAACTATTTGAGAGTAATTTGCATATAAAACTGTGTATGCTAGCAAGAAATCATTTATCTAGCTACCAACACAAATCCCATGCCTAATCTTTATCAACAACAATCTGCTATTTCATTCAGTTACTGCAGCCTTAAATAAGTCAAAAATCTAAAAATGTTACGGTTTTCTTCGAGATATATGATTTCTCTTCAAACCACTGTATTCTAATATTCAAAGTGAATATTCTAATTTCAAAGTAAAAGGAAGAAAAGAGTACACACAGCTGATAATGTCTTAGAAATGAGAGAAAACTTTGCAAAAGTGCATTATGGGGAAAGTGTTTATGGATTATGGGGTAAGACAACACACACATACCATAAGGGAAGCCACAACTTAACCATTAAACAGGGATCTAGAGGTTACCGTTCAGCGAGCTTTCGAGCCTCTTCTGCCAAAAGAGTCATATTGTTTGGGTCCCCTGTAGATTCTGGCTGAGTGACTGACTGTAGAAGAAATAAAGCACTTATTCTCAAAGGACTGAGTTATTTAAATTTAATAAAACGTGTCAAAACTAAATTTTTCTTAGAGGGCAAAAAAGGATGCCTCTTCTTATTTTCAGAGATATTTATTTAATATCAGCACCCTTAATTGCAGATTCTTTCTATTTTCAGTAAAGGATAAAGGAAGAGTAAACTGCCTAGTACCATAGAAGGAACAAAGCTAGAGAACCCAGATGTCCCTTGGTTTTTATCCAGTTTGTAATAACTGTTTCATGCCAACTATGAGCAATGTGGCTTTCTTGCTTCATATTTACGGACAAATAAAAAGATGCATGGAGTCAGTTTAGCTGAAGAAGCACTCCACTGTCAGTAACAGACTTGCTATAAATCCCAAGGGTCTCCCCCATCCCCACCTCAGATGTTTGCAATTATTTACCACATTGGCAGCAGCGACTTTTGCTTTCTCAAGTTCTCTGGATGCGATTTCAATCAACTGCTCTGTGCTCTCTACATGGGCACGTGCTTGTTCAGCCAAGTTTCCAGTCTCTTCAATGGTATTCCGGATATTCTGTAAACGGCTAATTTGGCTGGACAGAGTGTTATTCACTCTCTGTAGGCGATCCAGCAAATTCTGGTCAACATCTAAAATGGTTTGCAGAAGAAAGTCTGTAAATTATCTGAAGAGGAAAATATCTCACACGACATCTGAGGCCTTATGTATCTTTACTCTTCTGAACATAGCATCTTTCTGTCAGGTTTCCGCAAAGCCCCCAGTACAGCTGGACAGCCTTTACCATGCCCAGTAGGTCCTTCATGGTACACTCATCACATTTCTCCAACCGTGTGCCCACCTGCTTACTTGACTATGACTCTTCTTTCTTACTCATCATTATATTGCTGGTCTTATCCAGTGGTTGGCAAAGAGAAGACACCCAAGGAATGTTTGATGAAGGCAAGAAAGACTGATTTTAATATCCCAGCACATGCAATTTAGTCATAAATATACAATGTTGTTAAAAATGCTGCCAGCCCTAAAAGCCGAATGTTTTACAAAATCCAGAAAAAACTAGGTTTAAAACATATGTTGAAGTATGGCAAGTTAAACTCATTTTGTATTTTAAACTAAATAGACACTTGCTGCCACCCCCATACCCCAGCATATCAGTGTAATTTCTTTCAAAATGATCTCTGTTTTTGAATAGTTCTTCAAATTATTCTTTATTAATATGCCCATTCAACTTAAATCTTATATTCAGGTCCTAACAAATCAAAGGATAAATATAAGCCTATTATTGAAACTCATATATCATAAGGTTTTATTAACATATAAAAACCATTAAGTAAATTGACTAGTTCATATTTCAGCATCATGCTCAGTGTTGGGGTCTAAATTTTCTCAGGAATGTGAAAAAAAAAAAAAAAAAAAAGTGAGAAGTCAAAAGTAGGACCAATAAAGATGAATATAGGCTTGGAAAAAACTTGGAAGTGAGGCCATCAAATCCATGTGCAGAGGTGATATGCTATAAATGGTGGTCCTGCTTGGAGGGTTACTTAATCTTTTGATAATGTAAAAATGTTTAAGAAAATACAATGACAAGTTCAGATCACAAAAAATCATTTAGATTTAGGAGACATAAGCCGCCAATGAGGTTATAGTAGCCCCTTCTCTTTGACCTTCAAGAATGTAATAGATACTGATCTCTCTTCTAATTCTTTAGAGAAACAGCAGTATCTGAAAAGAGAATAGATGACCTAACCAATTCCAAGTGTCTACTTGCAAGATCTAACTGTACCATATAATCACCTTTCAAATCTGCAGAATAAACACAAATTTAAACTACAAATGAATACTTAAGGATAGTCTTAAAAGATAAATAGTTATGAAGACACTTTCATTTTTAACAGAAAGGTCAGCCAGGAACTGCACAACTCAGGTCTTAAGGGGAGTGGATTTTAATTCCAGTCCCACTATGATGCTCCCAGAAAGCTCTTCTCTGCTTTTCATTGGTCTCATCAGATAATGTGCCGAAGACTAATCTAATTCAAAGGACCTTAGAAATGGACATAATATATAAAACATACTTTAGTGTAATGTGGTTTTTTTTTTTTTTTTTTTTTTTTGAGATGGAGTCTTACTATGTCATCCAGGCTGGAGTGCAGTGGTGCAATCTTGGCTCACTGCAGCCTCCACCTCCTGTGTTCAAGCAATTCTCCTGTCTCAGCCTCCCAAGTAGCTGGTATTATAGGCACACACCAGCATGCCTGGCTAATTTTTGTATTTTTAGTAGGATGGGGTTTCACCATATTGGTCAGGCTGGTCTCAAACTCCTGAGCTCTGGTGATCCACCTGCCTTGGCCTCCCAAAGTGCTGGGATTACAGGCGTGAGCCATCATGCCTGGCCTCGTGTAATGTTATTAGCACATTTGTTTGCTAATTAGAACATTAATAAGCACACACTAATTTCTAATGTTTATTTTTTCAAATACCAAGTGTTACACATTCGGTAGCTAGCTGTTAATACTTGAAAACAACAATTTTACCTTATGAGAATCCTAAGGAAAAAACACAATGCATAAAATAAATTCTCTCTCACTAGAATGATGGAAAATCAAAGTTCAAATTTTTTACCTAAAAATAATGCATACAAGGCTGGGTGTGATGGCTCATGCCTGTAATCCCAGCATTTTGGGAGGCCAAGGCAGGCGGATCACTTGAGGTTAGGAGTTCGAGACCAGCCAGGCCAGCATGGTGAAACAACCATCTCTACTGAAGAAAATACAAAAATTGGCTGGGCATGGTGGCATGTGTCTGTAGTCCCAGCTACATGGGAGGCTGAGGCAGGAGAATCGCTTGAACCCAGGAGGCAGAGGTTGCAGTGAGCCGAGATCATGCCATTGCATTCTAGCCTGGGCAACAAAGCAACTCTGGCTCAAAAAAAAAAAAAAAAGGAGGAATTTTGAAAACTCTGGAAAAAAAAAAAAAAAAAAAAAGCATATGAAGACGCATGCCTTTAATAATTTTTAAAACTATTTTAAGACACCTTGTAATAGAACAGCTGGATAAAATGCTTGAAATTTGAATATCAAGTCATTTTTTATGTGTTGGAAAATCACCCTATGCTTACTATATCTTAAAGCAGCATATTTGTCAGGTTGTTTTTTGAATTAGTGTTTAAAAAATGAAATGATTTATCGTTTACAAGTAGTTTAAAAATTGAGAAATAATTTTATAAAACCATACTAATTAACCTTGCTTTAGGAGCCACATCTAAAGATTGGCCCATCTCACAGAAGTCACGCATTATTCGATCATGCGTACCTTTGACATCCTGGGCCTCACGAAGGAGGTCCATAACTTCCCTCTCTGCTTCCTTTAGTCTATCCTCAAAGGCTTGATCTGTCACCATCTCATCCCCAGTTCCAAGGTTTGCTATGAGACTCTCTAACTCCTGGAGCTTCCCTCGATGATCAGCAACCTAAACATAAGGAAAAAAGAAAAGGGAAAATTAGGACACACAAGTATTCTTGAAGAACTCAATCATACTTCCTGCAGGAATCATGGGCGCTCTATGAATATGTAGGTCTACCCACTCCATGCATGTCTACTTCTAAAGAGAAGACATGGCTAGTTTTTCTTTATTTTTCTAGCTTCAAAAGAAAACCTTCAGAGCCATTCCTTTGATTTTAAACACTGCATGCTGATGATTCTTCAGCTCTGACCTCTCCCTTGAGTGTCAGATTACCTTCATGATATCTCCACGTAGCTCTCTGATAAGTATCTCAAACTTAACATCCAAAATTATACCTCTTACCTCTACTCTCCCTGTGGAATCTCCATCTCAGTAAATAAGACCTCCAGCTACCTTAAGCAAAAAACCCAAGACACAACCTTATTCTTCTCTTTCCCTATCCTGTCCCCAGACACGTATATTTATCAGATCCAATTGACGCTTCCCATTAAGGCCCATTCCTAACCATCATTCTTCACACAGCAGTCAGAGTGCTCCTCTTAAAACATAATCTGGATTTCCTAGATTTTAAGAGTTTCTTCAATGCATTCTTATTGGATTTGAGATAAAATCTAAACTTCTTACTATGGTCATCACGGTCCTATAGAGCCTGTCTCCAGTCTTATCAGTCTTATCATAGAACCATACGCTCTGCACTCAGCAGGCTCCAGCCACTCTCCAGCTCCCAGGCCTCTGTACACCAGGTTCCTTCTATCTGCAACAAACCTACCATTACTTTTCACTTGGCTCATTCCTTCGTATCCATTAGATCTCACCTTAGATGAATTCTGTAGAGAGGCCTTATATAAAGTAGTTTCCTCCAGATATTCTCCATTTGTATTCTTCCTGGCACTTACATCAGTATTTGTTTTATTTACTTATTTATTTTTTATTATTTGCCTCCCAAATGGAACATAAGTCTTTAAGAACAGGGACCACATCTATCTTGTTCACCACTTTTTCTATAGAGTTAGTGCACAGTAAGTTTCCACTCAGTGTCTGCTGGATGAATGAATGAATGCATTATTGACAGCTTACCTTATCCTTTACTAGCCGGTAACAAGCCGGACATTCCTGGCAGCCAGGCCAAGATCGATTGTAGAAATAGTTTTCTTCACACTGGTCACAGCGACTTCCTACAAAGCCTTCTCTGCATTCGCAGCGACCATCATCTTTGCACTGGAGTGAAAGAGACCCCTCAGGATGACAGTCACAGGCTGCAGAATAAGGAGAAAATAATGCATAATTAGCAAAAGAAGGAAGAGCATATCTCTTAATTCAGACTGATAACAATAAGCTGACTATACTACCATTATAATTTTTTTGACAAAACAGGACCATTTATGAGATTTTACATGGTTAAGTCTGTTTAGCAGAGAAAACTGACATTTTTAAAGTCAGAATGAGCTTTTAAGTAAAATGTGCAACCTTTGGGACACACTTCAGGTTACTTAGTAATTAGAGAAGTTATAAAACTATCAGTGCTCTTTTCATGCACTTCAATAATTCAGTTCTCCACTGTTTAATTAATTTCTCTAAGGAACTAGAAAACCCAAATGCTAATGCTTCTTTTGCATTATTTTATAGTTTGTTTATTCACTGTGTTCTCTGAACTGAGTCAGTTACTTATGCTGCATTCCACAGGAGAAATGAAGGAATTCAGAAAGCAAAAGCCAGTCTGTTCTGAGGCCCAATTCCAGGCAAGTGTTTATGCCAAGGAGGAGCAGATGTTTATACGTAATCATACCAAAAGGGCCCCAAGGGTGGGAAGCAACTACAGCCAGTAAGTCAACAAACACATTGTGAACAGAATCCTCCACTATTTCATTATCTGCACTAAGAATGCAATCAATAAAGAAGTTTCATTAACCACAGTGGGAAAGCTGCGTAATCAAAGGAAGACTTCCTTGGAAAAAATAAAAGATTGGAAAAAGGAAGAATCAGAAATGCTATAAAAGAAAACATAACATAAGGTGGCTGCAAAGAAACCGGAGAAGGCTTTGATCTGCAGAGTTTTAGAAATGGATAATATTCACCAAATAAAGCATCTACGATGACTTAGGTATAGCCTTGACTATGGGCCAAGTGGCTAGACTGAGGCTGTCAAAGTCTTTTCTGGCCTTAAGATACTAACTGGAATTAGGGGAGGCTTAGAGTTGTATGCCACCAACACTCCTTACGTTTGCAGCCTTCAGGTCCAAACCCAAAGTGGTTGACCTCACAGCGCTCACAGTGCTGACCAGTGATGCCAGGCTGGCACTCACACTGGCCGGTGCGGATGTCACACTGCCCATTGGTGGAGCCCAAGGGGTGGCAGTCACACCTGAAAATGAACACAGAACATTTCTCAGGCAAGGAAAACAGACTTTAAGCAAACCTTTTTTTTTTTTTTTTTAGTATAGCACTGATGTAATTTGTAACTTGCATCAGAAAATTGAATGGTAAGGGTTACTAAGATGGAATTTAGGTAAGGGTTATTAAGCCCCTAAGGTTCCAGTAATTTTCATGAGTGCTATTCAGAGCCTCTTTTCCTAACTTAACTGCTACCAGTGCTCTTCAACCTGGGACTGTATGGACACTAAGTAGGAGTTTTGACAACAGAAGTTCCCAGGCTGCATCCCTGAAGGGTCTGATTCTAAGAGCCTCAGAAAGGACCCGGCAATTTGTACTTTTAAAGGTTACTCAGGTTATTCTGGCAAAGCTGGGGCCACTGTGCTCCACTCCTTTCTTTCATTAGCTTTATTACAATTCTCCAGCGTTGCCCCTGAAGGATGTCTTGCCTACGTTAGGCACTCCAGTAATTTCTGAACAGTCAGCTATTAAATGTAACTTACAAAAATTCACTTTTTTACAGTAGAAAAAGCAAAGATTACTTCCACCAAAGGCACCTATGTCTCACCTCTCACAGCCTTGCCCACTCTGCAGGTTGTAGAATCCAGGGTCGCAAGCACCACAGTCCCGGCCAGTCACATGAGGCAGACATTCACACTGCCCCGTCACAGGGTTACAGCTGCTCTGCTGCTTCACTGTTCCATGTGGAATGCAATTGCAGGCTAAGGCAGGAAGACAGAGATAGCAAAAGACACAAATCACCTGAGAGAAATAATAAAATAAAAGCGATCCAAAGAGATTCTTTAGACTTGTGATGGTAGCTGCTGGTCACATGTGGCTACTGGGCACTTTAAATGTGGCCAGCTAGTCTGAATTGAGATGTGCTATGTGAGGTACACACCGGATTTTGAAGGCTTAGCGTGCGAAAGAACATATGTTTCATTAATAGTTTTCACTGATTACTTATTGAAATAATATGTTGGACATATTAAATAAAACATATTAGTATTCATTTCGCTTGTTTCTTTTTACAGGACCACAGGTGTAAGCCACCATGACTGTCCTTCTTTATACTTTTTTAATGTCGTAACTAGAAAATTTTAAATGACATAAGCGGTTCACGGTGTATTTCTAGTGGACTAAACAACTGTAAGTATTTTAAGAGAATACAAGAATTCTCACAATAAAGGGGCATGACTGTGACAAAATCTGGTCAAAGGCTGATTACCTTTGCATTTGTCTGCTGGATTGGGAGCCAGGGGATTTCCAAAAAATCCGCCTTTGCACCGGTCGCAATAGAAGCCAGCAGTGTTATAGATGCACTTCAGGCATTCTCCAGTCAAGCGATTGCAATTTCCAACTGCGTTGGGATCGATGTTGTCATTGCACTGGCATAGGCGGCAAAGTCTCACAGGGCCGTTTCTACCCAGGGGGTCTCCAAAGTAGCCATCATCACAGAGCTCACATCTCTTACCTGGGGATGAGACGTTCTGATGTTGCGAAAGAAACGCTTTAGACATTTTTGGTGCCAGATTACCACTGACTACAGATAGGCTAATGTAATCATCGCATGAAAAGACGACGGTGCAGTGGAGAGCAGAGGACCTGGGCTATAGCCCTGGCCCTGGGCCAGACCAACAGAGTGACCTTGAGCACATCACTACTTCCTCACTAGAAAAGGAAGCACCTGGTCTGACTACTTCACTTCAACTGTCGTGACAATCAACCCAAATCATGTATTAGAAGTGCTTTGTAAATCAAGCCCAAGATTTATAAACCTCTCCAGTCTCAAAGGATGGCACATTCATATACGTTGTTTTGGCAGATGATATTAAAAAAGTTGAAGTGCCACTCTTGACACCATAAGTTTCCCACACATCAGGGTGAGCAGAACCATTCTCTTAAAATGTAAGAGGCACGTGCGAATCCTTGTTAATCAGTATCAATTGGTACAGAATCAGGGCATGTTAGAAGAGAACTTAGAAATCATCAGTTGCTGCCTGCATTTAACTGATAATTAAATATTATAGTTCAGGGAACAGAGAGGGTAAATAACTTGCCTGCAACCAAAGAACTGACAGGCAGAGGGAGAGCTAGAATCCAGGGCTCTTTGCACTGTAGTAAACTCACCACTCCTCATCTTTCCTTTTCCACTTTCCTACCATGATTAGCTCAAGTTGGGCTCTTGATTTCTTTGTAACCAGTAGGGTCTGAACTAGCCTAAAATTTCTGGTGAATCTAAGATTTATTAATTCATTCGACAAGCATTTGCTGAGCATCTACCATATACCAGCACTGTTCTAGGTCATTAGGATGATATGAGCAAGGTGGCCAAGGTCTCTGCTCTCATGAAGCTTATACAGTGATTGGTGAAGACGAATACACAGACATACAAATAAACAAGATTACTTCAGATAGGGATAAGCATAAAAAATTTAAACAAAATACAGCGGCATGATGGGATGAAGGTGAGGGCTACTTTGTATCGGTGGGTAAGGAAAGCCTCTATAAGAAGGAGACATTGGGATGGCAACAGAAAGACACAGAAGAGACCAGCCAGGATAATATCTAAGGGAAGAAAGTTTCAGACAAACTGTTTTGTTTGTTAGCCATAGAAGTAGTTCAAACCCATGTAGGACCATGGAGGTCACAGTAACGGATCTGGTTTTAAATGTAAGTGCATCAAGAAGCTATGGCAGGGTTTAAAAGTGGTATAATCTGATGCACATTTTTAAAGGACCATTTTGGCTTTCATAAGGAGAATGGATCCCTTGTAGAGGAGCAGGTGAAGCAGGGAAGGCAATTAGGCAATTCCAGGTGGAAGATAAGAGGTTTGAACCAGGGTGGCGACAGTGGAAGTGGTGAAAAGTGGTCAGATCTGAGATAAAATCAGTAAGATTTGCTGACTGTTTTTAGGACATGAAAGAAAGATAAATCAAGTATAAGTCCTAAGGTTTCAGCTTGAGCTAATGGTAGCATATTTACTAAGATGAACAAGATTGGAGGAGAAACAAAGGGTTGAAGAAAAAGGGAGGAAATCAAATATTTAATTTGGGTTTGTTTGAGTTCCTTTAGCTATGTGAATCAAGATCACAGCAGAAAACGGCTGACACAATCAAATTAGCATGGAGTGTAGGGAAACTCCAAGGAGAGTGTGGCACTTGAGGCAGGCTCCATACCCTGGGCCTCAGGTGGTGGGCGGAGCACCTAGCAGAACCTAAAGGTAAAAAGGGCTGTTTGGAGAAGGCCTGCCATACGCTGAGAACTTTGATTTGGGGTCATCAATCCACAGAACCCCATAAAGAAGGGGCCATGGAATAAATACTCTGTCCTCGCCCTCCTCCTTCTCGGTGAGCTCCTGTACGTACTTCCTGCTGTCTGAACTCAAATGGAGCATTTGATGCAGTGTATGCAAGTCTCAGTCAGGCTGGAGAAAGGTGAACAGGGGTGTGGAGAGGCAAGTAGAAGGCTTCTAGCCCACCACCCAAGTGGAGATGGTCTGTAGGTAGATCAGGAGAGGTGCCAGGGCTGGAAATACAAACTTAGCTGTCACAGATGGAGAAAGGCTTTTGAAGCCTCAAGACACGATTTGATACCTAAGGGGAAAACGGTAAATCAAGGTGGCATGAAAGCCCTTGGTTGAGAAACCGAGGCAATCAGCGGATAACCAAAAGAGAGAGAGAAGGAAACAAGGAGAGTGAGCCTCAGCTTCCTATTAGGAAAAATCATAACCACTGAAACTGAACCAAACACAAATATCCTAAACAACCCCAAAGCCCCTTTTCCCAGGTCTTTTCATAGGATGGAACACTGAAAGCAGGTGGATGGAGCAGACTTACCAGTGGTGCCAGTAGGACAGTTGGTACACACCACCTCCTTTGTCTTAGGGACAACAGCACAACTTGAGCCTCCAGGACACGGACAGGGTTGGCAATCAGAGGAGGTGCCTGCAGTGGAATCTCCATAGTACCCATCACTACATTTCTCACAGTGTGGGCCAGCTGTATTGTCTCTGCAGTTACAAACACCTGTTTGGAGGGTAGGTGTGAGAAAACAGGCAAGTGAGTAAGACAGTGAGCACTTTCTAACCAGCTGCTAAAAAGCACTTAGGTCTAAGAGCTGCCAAAGATCATCTCACCTGTCTCAGGGTCACAGGTCTCACTGTGTCCATTGCAGGTGCAAAGAACACATGGACTGTATGGTCCAAGACTCGGAGTTTCTCTTCTGTAACCTGAGAGGCACATCTCACAAAATTGCCCTCCATATCCCACAGGACAGGTACAGGACTCCACCCAAGTTGCAGGGACTCCAGGCCCAGGACGAGCACTTGCCAGGGTGACATCATCCAAATACCCAGCACCTGTGAATGGTGAGGAAGAGAAAATCACCAAACTGGATTGTTTTCCAAAACCCTGTGTAAGGTCAGTAACACTAAAAAGTAACCAGACACGAAATTCCAGAGAAAACCAGCCCTTAGCTTAATTGGGCTCTGATAAACTGAAGAACACATCCACTTCTATCCACTGGAGAAGATAATTACAAAATAGCATTTAGAACAATCATGTGGTGCTGGGTGCTAAGTATCTGGAGTGATGGTATGGCAAACTTTTATTTATTTATTTACTTTTTTTTTTGAGATGGAGTCTCGCTCTGTCTCCCAGGCTGGAGTGCAGTGGTGTGATCTCGGCTCACTGCAACCTCTGCCTCCCAGGTTCAAGCAATTCTCCTGCCTCAGCCTCCCAAGTAGCTGGAATTACAGACATGTGCCACCATGCCCAGCTAATTTTTTTATTTTTAAAAATAGAGACAGTGTTTCACCATGTTGGCCAGGCTGGCATTGAACTCCTGACCTCAAGTGATCCACCCACCCGGGCCTCCCAAAGTGCTGGGATTACAGGTGTGAGCCCCCATACCCAGCCCAAGTTTTATTTTTAAAACACACACACATACCCCTAGATTTAGTGAATTTTACAGTCCTCACCAGTGTGAAAAACGAAAAGCATCAGACAATCATTTGGGGTGAGACGAGATATGAGCAAGAGTGTGGGGAAAAAGAAGGGTTTAAATCTACAGCCATTAAGCAGTGTTTTCGTTCTTTTGCTACAAAAGCAGGAAATGACTACAGAGTTCAAGGATAAGACAGAAGGGAAAGCACCTGTCAACAGGTAATACTCAGGTTATATAATTTCTGCCCTCTGCAAAAAAAAAAAAAAAAAAAAAAAAAAAAAACCACAAAAAAAAAAAAAAAAAAAAAAAAAAAAAAAAATTCCTCAAGTAAATTTCTAAAACTCAGGGTTACTTCTTTCGAGTCACAATTACCAAAAAGCCCAATGCTTTTCCATTCCTATAAGAAAACAGACGAAACCTTATACTGCCTTAGACCAATGGTTCATTTAAACCAGTGGTGCCCTTGATACAAGCACCAGCAGGAACAGTAGTTTATCAGACAGGCAGGCCTCAGTAACATTGACATATTTCCCTGTAATCTCCATTCTACTCCAGTGTTTTGCAGTCTTATGCTTAAAGTATCTTTTTCATGTCATGAAATAGCACTTGCTGTTTATAAAATTCATTTGAAAATTGACCACCTAAGGCTGAAGGACACCTCTTATTACTGCCTATTCAAGGCATAGGCACTTTGGTGTGTTTACAGGTTTATCTTGCCCAGTTAGATCATAAGATACGGCTTTACTGGTTACTGTGCTTTCAACTCTAAACATCCTTAAGTCTCCCCATTCTAAAAATACTTTTTCTTCAACCTTGTTCCTATTTCCAAATTATAGCCCATGTCTTTTCCTTATAGCCAAACTTCTTAACAGAACATTCTTTATTTTACTTCCTCAACTTCAAATTACTTTTTAAAGCACTGTGATCTTTCAGTCCCAACACACTTGTTGCTTTTTTTTTTTTTTTTTTTTGAGATAAATCTCCCTCTGTAACTCAGGCTGGCGTGCAATGGCATGATTATAGCTCACTGTAGGCTCAACCTCTTGGGCTCATGCATCCTTCTGCCCTCAGCCTTCTGGGTGGCTAGGACCACAGGTATGTGCCACCATGCCTAGCTAATTTGTATGATTTTTTTATAGAGACAGAATCTTGTTATGTTGCCCAAGCTGGTCTTGAACAGCTGCCCTCAAGCAATCGTCCTGCCTCAGCTGCTGGAATTACAGGCACTTTGGGAGGCCTGTAAGCCATAAGCCACCACGCCTGGATGGTTTTAACACTTCTTAAAAACAACAACTCACTAATGATTAAGGAATCATCCAGTCCAAAACCCAATGATGCTAGCTTCCTAAACTTATTGTTTCTCTTCCTTACAATCTTTTTCTCCCTTGGGTCTTATTTATTTATTTATTGTACTTTTTTTGAGGCAGGTTCTCACTCCATTGTCCAAAGTGCAGTGGCACAATTACCACTCACTGCGGCATTGATCTCCCGGGCTCACGTGGTCTTCTCACCTCAGCTTCCTGAGAAGCTGGGACTACAGGTGTGCTCCACCATAATCCACTCATTTTTGTATTTTTTAGCAGAGATGGGGTTTTGCCATGTTGCCCTTGGGTCTTAGCACATGGACCTTAACTAACTGTTTCCAGGATTCCATCCTTCTTTCCCTTCTATATTTTCTGTCATATTTCCAAGTTTAAAAATTATTGCCCATATGTTGACAACCTTCTAAATCTGGATCTCTGGTCCTAATCTCTTCCTAAGCCCCAGATTCATATTTCTAACTACTTATAAGACACTTTTATCTGGGTATTCACACAGGCATCTTAAAAATCAACACATCTAAGCCACAAATGCCTCTCCCAATACCACATCATCACTAATTCCACCTCCCAAATAGCTGTACCTTGCTAAAGAAAAAGGTCCTCGTTTAAAACATTTTCTTAAGAAAAAAAATTTTGGCCGGGCACAGTGGCTCACACTTGTAATCCCAGCACTTTGGGAGGCTGAGGCGGGTGGATCACCCGAGGTAAGGAGTTCAAGACCAGCCTGGTCAACATGGTGAAACCCCATCTCTACTAAATACACAAAAATTAGCCAGGTGTGGTGGCATGTGCCTGTAATCCCAGCTACTCGGGAGGCTGAGGCAGGAGAATAGCATGAACCCAGGAGGCAGAGACTGCAGTGAGTTGAGACTGTGCCACTGCACTCCAGCCTGGGCAACAGAGCAAAATTCTGTCTCAAAAAAAATTTTTTTTTTAAGTCTTAAATTCTTATTTACCTAAAGTTATAACAAATATTCATTTAATAATTTATGATTTTCAGTAAGGTAACCAATGACACAAATTATAATTATATAACTGTAAATAAAAAGAAATGAAGATGAGGCAACTTGAGCTAGCAGAATTATAATTAGATTTTTTTTTTTTTTCTGAGGCAGATTCTCATTCTGTTGCCCAGGCTGGAGTGCAGTGGCATGATCTCAGGTCACTGCAACCTCTGCCTCTTGGGTTTAAGCGATTCTTATGCCTCAGCCACCCAAGTAGCTGGGATGACAGGCTTGCGCCATTCCACTTGGCTAATTTTTGTATTTTTAACAGAGACAGAGTTTCACCATGTTGGTCAGGCTGGTCTCAAATTCTTTGCCTGAAGTGATCTGCTTGCCTCAGCCTCTCAAAGTGCTGGGATTACAGGTGTATGCAACTGAGCTCGGCCTATAATTAGGTATTTTTTTAAACAAAATCTGTTTATATACAAGGCAACCTTAATTGACCTACCGATTATAAAATAATGCTATTTACTAATTTTACCAAATTTGCTCCAGGTCCTTGAAAGCAGTTTAAAAGTGCATTGTTCTTATGTATAATTCATGTATAATGTGGTCGTTATGTACTTCGCAGTGTTATAGCATTAGGAGAGAGAAACTTTTGCATTATCGTGAATCTTTCTACCCAATCATCTTTTTAAACAACTCTCCTAAATTATATAACTTACTTCTCTCACTATACGTCCCACGGATCTTGATAGAGGTCAAGTTGTTTAGGAGCTTCTGAAATTCAAAAGGGGTAAGAGCAGGCCTCCAAGGGTAATCTGTTGCTTCATGGAGCCTGGAGAGAAAGAAAGGGCCACATTAACCTCTGTAAGGATAATTCTGGATGTTGGGGAAACATTTTTCCTTCATTTTTTCCACCAACAATGCAACGCTCTGACAAATCAAATCAGAAATGAGACTATTGGTTTGGTAGTACAACTGGAAAGGACAAAAGTAAATGAAGGAATGCTCCCCTTTACTAAATCAGCATGATAACCCACAAGTTTTTCTTTCATGTTTATCTAGAGGCCAGTAAACTTAAAGATACCACTTTCACAATGTTTGTCAAGTCTCAGTTTACAAAGGCTATCTTACCTGAAGACATACTTCACAGTGGTCTCACTTGGATAGGAATTGCCCTGAGCGATCAAGGGCACAGATACTCTTAAGCCAGCTCCCTCAAGCACAACGTCTTCTGCAGAGAGACGAGTATCTCGCCTGTCCACTCGAAAGGAGAAGGAGAGGTTCTGACCATAACTCAACACCTGCTTGCCCAAGAACTTTGCTGAAATGCAGACACAAAGGTGGGCAAGAATGTGACACTGAGATTAAACAGAAGCACACAGCAAATCAGATTGCTTTCTAGCCTTACTTACCTGGAGCAATGAAGTACCTAGGAAAGTAGCTGTCTGAGATCACGGCAATATCTTGCCTCTCAGAGGACCACTCAAGAGATGCTTCAGAGCCATCTCTCTGTTCCACACGCCACCCATCTTCATCTGCAGGCACAGAAGGAAAACACAAGCACTTCATACTGTAAGCGTCGTGAATTCGTCCTCTATGTACCATAAAAATGTGTAAGACCACACCTTGTATACAGAAAGGCATCAATAAACCTTTTTTGTTTGTTTGTTTGTTTTTGAGACAGAGTCTCATTCTGTCACCAGGCTGAAGTGCAGTGGTGTGGTATCAGCTCTCTGCAACCTCCGCCTCCCAGGTTCAAGCGATTCTCCTGTCTCAGCCTCCTGAGTAGCCAGGACTACAGGTGCGGCACCACTATGCCCAGCTAATTTTTGTATTTTTAGTAGAGACGGGGTTTCGCCGTGTTGGTCAGGATGATCTCAATCTCTTGACCTCATGATCCACCCACCTCGGCCTCCCAAAGTGCTGGGATTATAGGCATGAGCCACCATACCTGGCCAGGAAACGTTTTTGAATAAATAGATCCTACGAAGTACCTACATATGCTATGCCACTCGAACTAGATTTTACTTTATTACTATTTATATAACATTTGCAATCACTATTCATCACAATACATTCTAAAGCCAAAAGTACATTTTCATTAAATTAAAAGGCTAAACTAAAAAAACCATGCATGTTAAATAACATAAGGTATTGCCAACCATCAAAATGCCCTTAAAGAGTTACTGGTGTTATTTTTAAAAATATTCTAAGTGTAGTCTCACAGTTCTAACAGGTTGGGGGATGAGGTCTAAATTACCAATCTGAAAGGTAGAGGAGATGGAATATGCACTGTAGCCAACAGCATTTGTACAGACAGATGAATGCCCAAAGCAGAAGCAGGGTGTACAACCCCTAGGATTAGATGATTCCAGATTAAAAAATCCAGGTTTGCATCTGGAAAAGATTAAGACAGCATCAGTTACTTTTATTTACTTGAAATATGATAACAGAGAAAACACAATGCAGCTAGAGAAAGAATGCAGTGCCTTTCACAATTGAAGCCTTCCACGTTGTCTTTGCATACGCATCTTCCTGTTTCAACATTACATTCATCTATGCTGCCAGAGGTATCACAAGAGCATGACCTATTCAATGGAAAACGGATAAAACAATCAGAGATGGGAGAAAAATTCTACTCTTAAAGTCAACCTTTTGTTTTACATGTTAACAGATGTTTTTTAAAAAGAAATACATATAGAACAAAATGGACCCTAAAGTCATTTTTATATTGGTTTTAGTCTAAGATAGTCATCTCATTAAAACTCTGCTTACTCTCTGTACAAACCAAATCCCTTGTGGCTCACCATTACAGCTAGTCCTTAGTCTTGTTGACAGTTATTATGGGAAAAATGTTACCCGGCTGCCAATAAGCCACAGATCTATTAATATGTGTTGACTATATATAGATTCTGCCCCCTTCTTCTGGTTTTGAAAATATTTTACCTGCATCCTGCCTCAGTAAGAGAATGGAATCCAGGCCGGCAACGGTCACACTTGTCCCCCATCACTCCTGGCTTACAGCTGCATCTGCCGTAGCTATCACACTGTGTGCTCAGGGAGCCTAAAATGGAAAGAGCTTATTGTCAAACACAAATTCGGCCAGATACTTAAGTAAAATCAATGTGCTAAAGAAAGATAACTGGTAACTAAAAGCAATACCTGAGAACAGGTATGCAATCTCCTGATGGTCACAGACAGAATAAAGACCAAATTTTAAATCAGAACTTTCTCAAAATCACACCCTTTTAAGCTATGGGATTTTAAGTTTCCAGATACACCCTAGGATGAACCTACTCATTAATATTGAAAAACACAAATCACTTTGTACCCAGTGGAACACTGTACACAAGACCAGTTAGTTCTCTGCGGGCAATCACAGACCCTTAAGGCCTGTGTCTAGAATTTAAGTATAGATAGGCCTAAATGACAAAAATAAAGGTCAAACTCTTGAAAAAGTAGAACGGGATGGACTAAGAATGCTGTGCATCTTTGTACACACACCAACATGCTTAGAATAGTTCAGCACTCTAAGGAGATTAGACTAAACAAAATTGTTAACAAGGAAGAACTCACAAAGCAGTTAACCTTTTACAGTCGAAGTTCAAACGGTCTCTATGATCCTGTCGCTAATTATTTACAGAACCATTACTCAGGCTACCACCCCTGTCTTACACACCAGAAACTCATCTCAAGTTCAACTTGGTTAAAAAAGGCGGAGGCATGGTGTAGAGACAGATCTTGGCTCATTTCTGTGTTACAATAATGTATACACCGCCACACTTAGCTGTGCAAATGCCTAGGAAACAAAGCTTTCCTTTCTGGGGGTCCAGGGAACCAACCATCATTTTGTCTTTTAATCCATCTTCCTGTCACTTACCCACAGGACTACAGTGGCACGGAGAGCAGGCTTCATTGTTTCCAAGGCGAAAGAAGTTCTCCCGGCACCTCTCACAGTGGGCGCCATCTGTGTTATCCTGGCAGTTGGTACAGTGGCCCCCATGGCCAGTAGAACGATATAGTTCAGGGTCAAAGTAGCATTCCTGGGATCGACCATTGCAGTCACAGGCTGTCAGTCAAAACACATGAGTTACACCAGATCTGGGTGCCTTTAAGAACAGCATTTTAAGACTGAAATGCAAACATAATTTCCCACATCTCCGAGAGAGACAGATGGTGGTAGACTAAGAATGACTACCAGATGCACTGGTAGTCATCTTGTTGTTCATTAACAACAAGAAGGCCGGGTGCAGCGGCTCACACCTGTAATCCCAGCACTTTGGGAGACTGAGGCAGGCAGATCACCTGAGGTCACGAGTTCGAGACCAGCCTGGCCAACATGGTGAAACCCAGTCTCTACGAAAAACACAAAAAATCAGCTAGGTGTGGTGGCAGGCACCTGTAATCCCAGCTACTTGGGAGGCTGAGGCAAGAGAATCGCTTGAGCCTAAGAGGCAGAGGTTGCAGTGAGCTGTGATCGTGCCACTGCATTCCAGCCTGGGTGACAAGCACAAAACTCTGTCTCAAAAACAAACAAAAGATCATATGTCTCAGGTTACCCCAGTCTAGATATATAAATAATCTGGCACTTTGGAAGTTAGTGTCTTTGACTCATCTGAGGCCTAAAAAGTTAAGGTAAATTAAAACCTGCATATAAAATGCCACCTTGTTTTTGGAGTTGATACTGAATAAAGGCTAAAGATTCAGGATAATTGTAATTTGACTTGACTTTTACTTGTATATGAGCAGTTAGCTGGCAGCAGGTTAAAATTAGTGCCTCTTCAGATGAAAGGAGAATTAAAGAGAAGTCTAGGTCCTCCAGAAACATCCATGTACAGGGAAGCCTCAACTCCAAATGGGTGGTCAGTTAAGTAGCTATATTCTCTGCAGAGCACAACCATATTTTAAGACCAAGTATCTGCAGTCACAGAAATTCCTTACTACATTTATAATAACAAGATTTTTTTTTTCTGAGTTATTGATTCTTCCTAAAATACAGACCATATCTTGAATAGTAAATAAAAAGAAGTTTTATTTGGTTTCCAATAGAACAGGATGTTGTTTTAAAAAATATTTGAATTAATCTTTTTTTGAATAATCTTTCTTTTCTAACACAGACTTCTTCCAACCAAAACCACAAATATATTTTGATTTGTTTGTTTGCTGGAGATAGGGTCTCACTCTGGAGCGCAGTGATGTCACCATAACTCATTGCAGCCTCCAACTCCTGGGCTCAAGTGATCCTCCTCCTACCTTAGTAGTCCCAGCTGGGACTACAAGTGTGTGCCACTATACTCAGCTAGTTTTTTAAAAAAATTTTGTAGGGACAAGTTCTTGCCATGTTGCTCAGGCTGGTCTCAAACTCCCAGGCTCAAGTGATCCTCCTGCCTCGACCTCCCAAGTAGCTAAGAATACAAGCATGTGCCACCATGCCTGGCTAATTTTATTTTTTATTTTTGCAGAGACAGGGTCTCACTATATTGCCCAGGTTGGAGGCAAATGGGTCTCCCACCTTGGCCTCCCAAAGTGCTGGAATTACAGGTATGAGCCACCATACCCGGCCCCTTTTGTTCTTTTTCTCTCTTATGATCAGTTTTTTATAGTACAGTATTATAACAGAAAACTTTTTTCTTTTTTTTTTTTTTTTTTTTTTGAGATGGAGTCTTGCTCTGTTGCCAGACTGGAGTACAGTATCGTGATCTCAGCTCACTGCAACCTCTGCCTCCTGGGTTCAAGAGATTCTCCTGCCTCAGTCTCCTGAGTAGCTGGGACTACAGCAGCTCGCCACCACACCCAGCTAATTTTTGAATTTTTAGCAAAGACAGGGTTTCACCATGTTAGCCAAGATGGTCTGGATCTCTTGACCTCATGATCCACCCGCCTTGGCTCCCAAAGTGCTGGGATTACAGGCATGAGCCACTGCGCCTGGCCAATAGAAAACTTTTGTAAAAACTTGTTACTGCCACCAAAAATTAGAGTTCTGTTGTTAGTTTTATAGTGCCCTTTTCCTTCTTCATTAGCTATTTCTCTTCCCTCAAGCTGCCTTAACTTATCCTTCAATTAACCAAGCCCAGCCCACCTGAAGATCTGATGTTCTGAAACTGTGAAGCAGAATAACACCCCTGTCCACACTGTCCCAACCCACAGCTAAAGCAGATGCCACAGCTCCCGCCTTCAGAGAAGGTAGTTCTCTTTCCTAGCCCCAGCATCCTGACAATAATGCAGTATTGTCACGACATCCAGAAACTTCACTCTTTGAGGTGTCACAGTACTGAAGGGACCAAGGAGAAAAGCAAATTAACTTAGTTCCTCATCAAAGTCATTTAGCTACAGTACTAAGTTCATTTGCTAGAGGTGAACTGGCAATGTTTGGTTTTTTTAAGTAATTTCCTGGATAGACTGAACATACATTATTCAGCAGAATGCTTTTCAAGCACACATGTCAATTTATTTAGATGCCACATCTTATGAATATTTCATTCTTATACCAGCCTTTATTGTATAGCTTCCAACACTGAATATTACAGTTCAGTGACGGAATTAAAGAAGCTTAAGCAAGTGCTTACAAAAGTTAGAGGAGGCTGTTAAATTTTATTTGCAAATCTTAGGATTTGTTGAAAAGACGAGTAAGAAAATCTCCTCTGGGCAGCTCAGTGTAAACTGTCATGAGTTAAGATAGTGGTACCTTCTAAGGGTTTCTGCCAATAATAATTTTTTTTTTTTTTTTAGATGGAGTTTTGCTCTGTTGCTCAGGCTAGAGTGCAATGGTGCCATCTTGACTCACCGCAAGCTCCACCTCTCAGGTCAAGCAATTCTCCTGCCTCAGCCTCCCAAGTGAGTAGCTGTGATTACAGTCATGTGCCACCATGCCTGGCTAATTTTTGCATTTTTAGTAGAGGTGGCGTTTCACCATGTTGGCCAGGCAAGTCTCAAACTCCTGGTGTCTGGTGACCCTCCCCACTTGGCCTCCCAAACTGCTGAGATTACAAGCGTGAGCCACCGCTCCCAGCCCCTGCCAATAATTTCTGCCAGTTAAGAGTGTCTTCTTTCTTATTCTCTATTCTTACGAGACTGTGATAAAGAATATTTGTAAGGACATAAGAAAATTATTGCTGCTTTAAAATCATGATTACAAGGTTTCCTTCTCCTGACATTTCTTTCTCTATCTGTTCAGAATAAACCACAACATTATGAAGGGATAAACAATGTTTTAAGTTTCTAAATTTTACCTTCTTCTAGGAATACTAGGGCCTATTCATCCCAAAGCTACCCACCTCTCCACTGGGGAAGTGGGAAAATTCTCCCTGTTGTACTCTTTGGTGAGATAAAGAAAAAACAGTTGTGAGAAATAATCTTGTGCGGCTGTGGGCAGCGGCTCATGCCTGTAATCCCAGTACTTTGGGAGGCCCAGGTGGGTGGATCACCTGAGGTCAAGAGTTCAAGACCAGCCTGGCCAACATGGCAAAACCCTGTCTCTATGGAAAACAAAAATTAGCCAAGCATGGTGGTGTGCACCTGTAATTCCAGCTACTCAGGAGGCTGAGGCAGGAGAATCACTTAAACCCTGGGAATTGCAGTGAGTTGAAATCAAGCCACTGCACTCTAGCCTGGGTAACAGAGTGAGACTAGTTCTCAAAAAAAGGAAATAATCTTGGAATGGCCATCTTAGCCTAGAACTCATCATATTTAATATATGTTAATCAACTACCTTGACTGCCTGAGCACTGATAAAAATAAGACTATTTTAAAGGGGAACAAAGAAAACTAGAGAAACCGTATTTTGGAGAGCCTACACTGGCCCAGTATTTGGATCTAAGCAAATTTCTAAATCTTGCAGATGCTGCTCCATCTCTGGCACATGTGCTCATGAAGGAAACAAAACCCTCAGTTTGCCTTTACAGTGAATTGCCCTCATCTATGACTTTCCTCTGATTGAATACAGTTTACTGTTCTAGTCTCTCAAATTAAAGAAAAGCATGGCCTTTCAGAGCTTTCCTTTCAAAAAGGAATAAAAGGAAGTCACCCATTCCTTCTTCCACCCTTGGAAGTCCTCAAGCCAATGGACAGACTGACGCCAAGGGGCACTCACGCAGGCATTCACTGGCACTTTCTGCAGTTGCCCTCCTCCACGGCCGGTCATTGAAGAAAGGAAGACACTTTTCACAGTCTACTCCATATGTGTTATGTTTGCAATTACACACCAGCTTATCAAATTCATTTTTCATACACTCACTTGCGTGTCCATTACATTTACATCTGGGGAGAGAAGAGACACTCCAAAAAATGGAACGGCTGCAAAATCCCAAAAATGCACACAAAAAAACTAAGTACACAGAGAACTAAAAACAACCTATGAATGCTTTTGAGTTTTACCATTCAAAAGTGTAAACTGAGGAACTAAGAAAGATTAAGTAATGGCTGTCTGAATTTTCAAGGATGAAAAAAAATTAAACAAGGTAGCTTTACTTAGCAGGGGTGGGGATTAACCAGACATGAAAACAAAGTCCATAATAATTTCTGAGGATATCTGTAGGATGTATTCCTGAAGTCAAACCTGTGGGTCAAGAACAGCAGAGTGTAGTGGTTCAGAAAAGCATAAACTCTGAAGCCAGGCTGGCTGGGTTTGAAACCCTCCCCTGTCACTTACAAGTGTAACTTAACTTCTGTGCCTCACCTGTAAAACAGGGATGATGATAATGCCTATTTCATAAGGTTATTGGGAAGATCAAGGAGTGCTTTATTAACATGCTCAGGATTGCACAAGCACAAAATAAGTCGAACATCAGCAATTATCTGCCATAATGATTTTAAAGTATTCCGACCTAAATGTGGTGAGACACATTAGATAACTCACCACCAGATGGATGTCTGGTAGTCAGACTAGTATCTCCCAGGCTGTCTGGAGCAATATTCCTTGAAGGAACCCCTAGATGCAAGTATGATAATAAACTAAGGACTCATGGAAATTCCCATGAATACTAATGTGCACCGTGGAATAGTAATGTTGCTCTCATCTTCTCTCAAGCTCTTATCCTTGACTGCTACACAAACTTTGATGCCCCCATGACATGAAATTTTACATATCTATAACCAAACTCATCAGTTAGCTCATCTTCATTTTATTAATGGCATCACCATTCTCCTGATCACTAAACCTTAAAAGCACCTTTGACTAAAGTCCTGGTAATTTTTCCTTCACAATAAAATGCACATATATGTTCCTTTCTATTCTGTTGCCACCAGCCTAATGTCATGTATTTGTTGCCTAACCCAGCATCGTATCAGGAATATGAATTCCCTCAATTGTACACTACTTTTACCCTCTTTACACATTAATCCTCCTGGCCCACTGTTTTCTTATCACAGCCCTACGCCAAAAATTCTGCCTGATTTCTCATTGGTTACAGGTCCTATCAACTTTCACTAAGCACCAATCTCATACCTGGAACAATGTAAGCAAAAGTAAATTTTCTGCTCTTGGGATATCATGGTCTAATACAGAGAAAGTAAGTCCAAGATTCTTCACCGGCTGTTTAAGTTCGGTCTCTGGCTACCAAACTATCTTTCTGGTTTACAACTCTACAAATTCATAAGAGATTGTCCTTCAGTTATACTCTACCATCTCTAAACTTCTGCTCATGACATGTCCATCCCCTTGTATCCAACCCAGGCATTCTCTCCTTCCTTATCCAAAGCCTTCAAGACCCAGCTCAGATGCCATCTGCTTCCCTAGCCTGGCAGTTTTGGATCATTCTTGATATGTGGGTTTATACTCTACCATCTCTAAACTTCTGCTCATGACATGTCCATCCCCTTGTATCCAACCCAGGCATTCTCTCCTTCCTTATCCAAAGCCTTCAAGACCCAGCTCAGATGCCATCTGCTTCCCTAGCCTGGCAGTTTTGGATCATTCTTGATATGTGGCATCTTTTCTACTGCTGCTTTATCTATTTTTTAAAGACAGGTGACTACCAGTATTTTAGTTTTCACATATTCATACACTGCATACCCTGTTCATTTGTAAGATCCAAGAAGGTGAGGACTTCTCAGTAGGATAAGGTGAGTCTTACCCTTCCTCAGGTGCTTCACAGTGCCTTTGCACTTAAATTGTCACTAAGAATTCACTAAGTGTGTTGATTTGACAAGGTTTTGCTTAGTTCCCAGAACAACGAGAAGATCTGACAGTGAAAATATCCTAGGCTGCTGTCTGTCTTTCCAGCCAGTTAAGCATTATCACATAAGAAGGAATGCCACTCCTATTCTTGGTGGAAAAAACATCTAACAACGGTATTAACATAGTTGTAAACAAGTTGCTGGATTCACCTCTATGCCAAAGCTCCAATGCTTTCAAGACTAATTTAATACTTTACTTACCTGCCACCCACAGCAAAATCAGAGATCGCATAATAATAGGATTTGAGAACTTTGGGATCGTTAAACACTTCATCTCCAAAAGTGTTCAGGCGATTAAGAGTTACTCTGATGTCAGTGGCAGTTACCCATTCCTGTCAGGAAGCAAAAACAGAAACATAAAAGAGAAGTGGAGGGCCTGAAAATGTGATCTAAATGTGACAAAGTGTTCTAAATCGCTAACTTATCATTTAACTTATGTCCTCTTCTGGCACTAACTCTTATTGTAATACTCAATGACTTCTATAATTTTCTAATAGTTTTCTCCTTTCTGACTCTTCCCTTCTGTGATTTGTTACTTTACCGCTCAGAGTCTCAAAAAGCAAGGAGGATAACTAATTTCTTTGCAAGGCTGCTGAGAGGCTTAAATAAAATATAATGTGCAGCATACATTAGGGACTCAATACACATGTCCCTTCCCTCCATCCTGCATCTGCAACCCAAATCCAGTCGGGGGGAACAGCTCAGAGCTCATGGGGCACTGCACTTGGATCAGAGATGCTGCTCATTGCCTGTGCCTGCCCATTTTGTAGCATCTATTTCTCCCTGCCAACCCAATCCCCAATACTGACAGATCTGGGGAAGATGCCCAAGTACTTGCTAATAAATTATTACCTCGGCTTGAACCAGTTGGATGTTGTGTTTGTCTTGTCCCTCCCCGCAATATCACCTTCTCTCTGAGGCCTTCCCTGGCCACTCATCTAACATTGCTACCCCTCCCCAACTCCCTATTTTCCACTCTTATTTTATTTACATTGTCTTTTTTCACACACACACCCTCCCCTTCCCACCGTACTGTAAGTGCCATGAGGGTAGGAAATTTTTGTTTTGTTCACTGCGATTTCCCTAGCATGCAGTAGGTATGCAAACTATTATTTGGTAAGTGAATGAATGAATTTGAAAAAACCACAACTGATCAAGTTGGTAGGTGTACCGTAATAGCAGAAGACAAGAAGGGGGGCTATACAGTTTTTCCCTGGGTTTTATGAGATCTAAGTCCTTACTTGGAGCTAATTTTAGGCAGATGTTTACATGTGTGGTAGAATGCTATACTAATGATCCCAGTGAATCATGTTTGCTAGGGCCCACACCCAGTACAGTCTCTTTCTATGCTGACTCTAGGTTTGGGTGTGTGACTGTTTTTGGCAGAGGGTACACCAGAAAATGTGACATAAGCAGAGGCTTGATAAGTACTTGTGCACAGGGACTCACCCTCCCAGATCACTTCCACTGTGGTGTAAAGCCCAGTCTAGCCTCCTGATGACAAAGGACCACAGGGAGACAGAGACCCAGGCTGCAGCTAACCTGCCAGGTGAGTGACCCATGCTAACAAAGAATCATGAGAAATAACAAATCACAGTTATCTAAAACCATTAGGTTTTGGGGTGGTGTATTACATATAACCACTCAAAGATAGCATTTCCATTTTAAGTTTTTGCTAGGGACTGCACAACAAAATCACCTTTGGAGACATAACAAACGTGCAGAGGTACAGACGTCTATGTTTTCAGAAGGCTCCAGGTGAGTCTGGGAGGCACACCCCTGATTTAGAACCACTGCCTTAAGCCACACCAAATACCTGGCATATAAAACAACACGGAGAGCTCATAAAAGCTAATCTCCGCGAAGCCTTCAAGCATAATTAGAAAGGAGAAGAGACGATGATTTCACCATATCCAAACTTGGAACTCCAATAACAACTCCTACTCATGGCCACAACGGTAGGAATCTTTCAGTGGTCTGTAATGTAAATAGCTAAACATATCTCTGTTTAATGCTTATTATGTCTTCTACAGGCTTCATCCTTATCACAGCTCTCTTTGAATAAAAGCTTCTCAAAAAGCTAAGCCATTTTTCTTCCTAATGGGCATCTTTAAAGAACAGACCCTGGAGCTCGACCTTGAATGCTTTGAATCCCAGTTCTGCCACTTAAACTGTGTGATTTGGGGCAAGTTATATTCTTTCTGGGCCTCTGATTCCTCATCTGTAAAACGGAGACAATAAAAGTATCTCCCTTACAGAGTTACTGTGAAGGTTAACTGAGCTGAAAAATTAAAGGGCTTAGAACAGTGCTTGTCACATTATAGTACACCACAGTAAGTGCTTTAGTAAATGTAAATTATTATCGTAAATCAATGTATGTATAGTAATACTTACAATATAGTGAAACTAGGAAGGGTTTCCTTCCCCATCTGGGAGATTTCAGGTTCTTCAGGGAGGTTCAGGGAGCAATGAAGAGAGGGAGAGAGGCAGGAGTTCTCTCTCCTCATTGTTAGATCAGTTAAAAGTCAAATTAGCCCAACCTCCTTGGCAACTGGATATCAGAGCCAGAGCTCTTACATCCAGAGACACACAATTAATGTTACTGCCTAATAAAACTGACTGACCATGTCTATGCAGATACCCATGACGTTTTTTTTAATGCCAGGTCATAATTCATAACATTTTTACCACACGTAGTCTCATTACCACATGTAGTCTCTCTAGTTTCTATGGCATAATGCGCAACAAACATCACAATTCCTACAATTGGGGTAATGGCTCAAGACAGGCTGACCAGGTGTACAGTTACCAAAGATGCCAGAAAGCCACAGTTACAACTTTGTATCACTGCATTTTCCTACTGACTCCACTGTTCTTTCTATTGTTGCCTCATCAGGACAGGAAAATGTAATAATTTGCTGTAGGAAAGAAAGAAGTCAGGCAAATGTTTGCTAGCTAATCAACTTAAAGAGTATTTGTAGGTCACCTTTCCCCTGGGTATTCGGTCTTCTGCTTTTTCTTTTCTTTTTCTTTTTTTTTTTTTTTTT